AGGAACCATGATCCCCTGTAGAGGGAGAGGCGTTCTGATGTTGGGTATTCTCAGCCTTTTTAGGCTTTTTTCTTCCCTTCATTATAAATGTATCCATCTGTGGCCTTTATAATGACCGTCTTTATAATTGGGTTTCTGAGTGGACGTCCAACTTGTTGATTCCCAGTGCTAAAATCTAAGCAACCCACTGCACCGGCCAAAACAGTGGTGTTATGATTGATGGTGCTTTTCTGACTCTGCACCAAGAACTACCGCACCAAGGCAGTGGTAAAGCTGCCTCGCTGGCCACAAGAGTCATGCTGGCGACCTGTGGGGCTCCTCCGCTAGGAATCTCCTGGTGTGTGAGCAACAAAAATTCATCTGAAAGTGTGGTGTCCTCTCGTTCTCTGCGCTTTCACTGGGAGCTACAATCCAGAGCTGCTAGTGATCAGCCATCTTGGATCTCTCTCCTTGGCTTCTAAGCTGGAACAAATTCTAAATTCACAGTTACTTGCATCACCTCAGTTTAATAATCCAATACATGACAAAAAAGACAAACAAAGAAAACAGCATCATAGGGCACAGCAGCTTTGTGTGGCTTCCTGTGGATAAGATCTTCAGTTTGTCCATACTAGACATCCAATTGTAGAATCCAATTGTGAATCCATTTCAGCTAATAATTTATTTTGGGTTTTAACTTCATGGCCTATTTCCATGGAAAAAGATTTTATAGCAGTTACTTTGCTTCTCAGACTTTCAGCGAGTCTCTCAGTTTCTTCTTCACAGGCTCTATACCTGCTATTAGCCTAGTGTCATTCCCAGAGTTGCCAGGAGGTACTCCTTCACCCAAGCCTGCATGCCTCATCCCGCTAGGGGAGAGAGGGAAAAGGTGGGCGCAGGGGGGCCAGGTGGGTAGAAACGAGCTACAGGGGACCCAGACTGCAGACCGCATCTTCAGCACCAGGACCATGTGGAACACCAACTTCTTCCCCCAAAGCACCATGACATCAGTCCAAAAAGTATTTTTTCAACTGACCTGCCATAGGCTTTTCAATTCTGAAATCAGAGACTCATTCTTTAGTATTAATGTCTTGAGCCTGTTACAAGGCAATACACTGAAACTCTGCACACAGCAAGGTCCTCGTGCTGCTTTGGGAAGGGTTGTGTGAATTTTTCATATTAGGGAAGCATGAGAAGTCATTCTTCTGTGCGGCCTGGGTGGATTTTCTACCTGAGCACTGGAAGTAGGAGGTAGGAGGGAAAGGTATGGTGGGAACAATGCAAGGAGGTGAGGGGGCTTGATGACAGATGCCCCTGGGGATAGTTACTGGTCTGAGACTGTTTGAGGTAGGAATATGGAAGCAGCAATCCTCCTCTGTAGCATAAGGCATTGACCTGAACCCAAAAAATCAGTTCTTTTCTCCAATTACTGGATGTACATGCCCTATTCCCCACTCCTAACCTGGACCCATGACAATCTCCTACCCTTGGGGTAAGCCTGGGACTTTCCCAGTTCAGCACTGAAAGTCCTTTGATTGGGGAATCCTCTGAGACCTGGGCTAACCAGGATGGTTTGTCACCCTTTGCACCACCATCAGCATGGAAACTTAGGGGATAATTTCTCTCGTGAGTTTATTTAAGGGGGATGCTTTGCCAGGCCCCCCTTAGTTTGGGTACCAGCCCTGAGACCCTAAAGGCGGACAAGAACCCATGACAGCCAGATGTTCAGCTGGAAATGATTGTTGACTTTCTTGATCTGGGTGGACAGCCTCTATGAGCCTTCCCTGCCTCCCATTAGCTAAATACACGTGCTGGGAAACGCAGGCATGTGGTGCATTTTGGGGCTGTCTACAGCCTCTATTAAATACAGGTTGTGGGAAACGCAGGCATGTGCTGACGTTTTGGGGTTGTCTGTACGTTCTTCAGCAGGAAGCCCAGACTGCTGCTGAGAATATGAGAGGTCAGCAGACCTGGGTGTTAGTTTCTGTTCATCCGTTAGATAATGTGTGACCTCAGTAGGGTTTTCTTTTGCCTTAATTTCCTCATCTGTAAAATGTGATGCTTTGTGTTGGATATCACATCTACCTCCGGTGTGAGCAATCAGTGTAAACTTTCCCCTCTAGGACAAAATAGAAGGGCTTCGAATGGGTGAAGAAGGTGCCTTCTGCACAGGTAGAGGAGCTACACTTGGTGAAGCTCTTATAAAGGTCAAAGGTTGTAAACTCAGAACTGGAAGGCAAACTTCCCATTGGGCAGTGAAAGAGACAGGACTATATTCACCCATGATAAAGAAAGCACATTCTGCCCCTCCTCCAGAAATACAGCATGTTAAGCTGTTAGCTGCCATCCTCTTTTCAGTGAGGACAAGATCTTCCAAATAAAACTCTGTGATCGTGAAAAATCAAGATCAGCCAGGGATGGGAGAAGAAGAAAGCAGGAGACGTGCTATGCAAAATCTGCTGGCAGAATTCCCTACTTTATTCACAGACTTGCTCTGATTTATTTGCAGGCTGAAAAGACGATGCCCTGATCCCACGCCTGAGAGCAAGGATGGTGAGATCGGTCTGCTGAACCAACCAGGGGACCCTGGAGGTGTGGAGGAGGCTGGAGGGGAAGGGGCGAGACTTGAGGGAAAGAGAGCGAGTTGCAGTGGCAGGACGGGGCCTGCCTTGGTTATAGCAGGGAGATCAGCTGGGAAATGCAGGATCTGGGATTTCCTGGAGCAGGAGTTTTAAGGTCCAGAGAGCAGAAAACCTGGGCTCAGCAGACTGTATGGTTGCTGTCCCAGCTCCTTATCTCAACTTTTTGCATAGACAAAGGCCACCAGGGATGAGACTGTAAGCGATGTGCAAGGCTGCATCCCCTAGAACTTCCTGAGCACTGAATTCTGAATTTCAGGCAGTTTTCATGTGTAAAGATGAAATGTTATTTTTTCTTCTGATTTCTTCAACCATTTAGAAATGTGAACATCCTTTTTAACTCACAGCTGTACAAAACAGGAGGCAGGCTAGACTTGGGCCAGGGCCGTCATCCTTTTCACTGATTACCCATTCTTGGCTGGGCTGCCCTGCAACACAACATCCCTACCCCCAAACTCAGTACCATCCAGGACAGTGATGTGTGATGTCCATGGGCATTTGAGGAAAGGGTGGTGTTCCCCATCTCAGTGGCAGCAAAGAGAAGAAGGCAGACGTGAGGCTCAAGTCTGCACAGGAGGGGAATTCAGTGGAAACAGGTAATCAGATGGGGAGGAGGTCCCTGGGTCCCTCCACCATGCCTTCTTCTTTGTGTTCGGTCAGGGAGACCTGCACCCGACCCAGACAGCCTGTGGCTGGATGGGCAGGTGGCTACTCTGGGGCGAGTCTGAAGTGCTAGGCTGCAATGCCCCTTAGCAGCATTCTCTAGCACCGCTGCTGGCGATGAAGTTCCATGTCTGGCTCCATGACCCTGACTCCTGCATCGTCTAGCACAGAACCCATCCCAAACATGTGCAGGGAGTGTGTTGCGTGTCAGCTCCCCAAACCCTGGGAATCCTGAGGAGCCCTGAGTTCTCAGACCAGGAACTGCTTCCTCAATGCAGTGTTCCCAAAGTGCTCCAACTGGGCTTGATTTCATTCAGTCCAGCTTCACAGACATTTATGATGTGAGTACTGAGGGTCAGGGTCAATGCTGGGCGCCAGGAGGGAGTGTGGGGTGGAGGGATGAAAACACGTAAGAGTGGGGCTGTAGGAGAAGGTTTATTCTGGAAGCAATGTCAGCAAGAAGGAGACCACAGTAGGCTCTGCAGAGGCTTCCTAGATGGGATGACACTAAGCTGACTGGGAACATCCTTGCCTCTTGGGGAAAGTCACTGGAGGCTGAGGGGCCTGTGATTAAGAAAGGAGATGAGAGTCAGCAGACAGGAGGAGTGCACAGGGGACTGAGGCTGGGCAGGGGTCGGGGGGTCTGGGTCTCATTCTCAGGATTCGAGGGTGCCTCCTTAAATCCTCCATGGAGGCTTCTGAGCAGGTTGGTGTGTCTTGGGAAGAGAAGGTGGCAGCAAGTGGCAGCTGGGTTGTATGAGTATAAACCTGGAGACAGGATAACATTCGGAGGGAATCACACCTGCACTCCAGCAGTAGCAGTGGGGATGGACGGGACAGATTGGGGAGAGCTGAGGAAGTGCCCCGAAGTGTGGTCACTGATGGCAACATCAGGAGGGAACTCACCTCTGTCCTTGGTGACTCTGAAACGTGGCTCCCTTCGCTGCAGTGGCCCTGCAGAGGAGAACTGGGAGAGCAGAGGGAGGCAAAGACTGCATATAAGTGTGGTGACCTTGAAGTCTCCGGAACACTGGTCCAGTAGATGATGTCTGGGCTCTCCCTCCCTCCAGGGAGGCACTCTGGGTTGACAGAGCCAAGACCTTAAGAAAGCATTAGGGAGCAGCACTGCCAGAGTAGCCTCCTTCCAGTGTGGGGATGGCCCATTTCCGGGTCGCCCACTCCATACTCCCTGTATCAACAAGGAGTCTCTTTCACAGTGAGCAGGAGTGCCTGGTAACCCAACCAACAGCCTGCCCCCCCCCACCCCAGCCCTGTGGACATCGACTTTCAAAGGAATAGAGCTGGAGAGTTGATCCGAGGACATTTTACAGTGGAGAAGGAGAAAGGGTTTGGTTAACCTTTCTCAGAATGTTTGCCAAAGTGATTCCTTCCAGAGCATTCAAATGTGAACTGTGTTTCTCTTATGCCTCTGGCCACACTGAGAAGAAAGCACAGAGAAAGCCCTGCCTAGAGGCCACCCCATTTCCTTGGCCTTCTCCCATTCCCATTCGTCAATGCAATCCAACTGAAAGTGTTTTGCTTTACTCGGAGTTCAATGAATGTCCACTATGTGGCAGGTACTTCAGTTAGAGCAGGAGGTTCTTCCTAATTTGGGGAACAAGAAAAGCCAGCCTTGTTCCTTTAGTCTGGGTGCCACTTGCTGAAAGGAAGCATGAGGACTGGGAAGTTCCAACAGATTAAAAGGATCAAAAGGAATGAGGAGAAATTTTCATTAGTTTGAATGTTTTCAAATGCAGGTTAAAAGAGACCTGGAACTCAAATAGCTTAAACAATTAGGAAATTTATTGGGTAACACAACAGGAAATGCAGAGATAGGGCAGGCTGCAGGCTGGTGGCTCAGGGCCCAGGTGGCCCTAACTCTCTGGCTGCTCTAAGGCACTGCTTTCAACCTCAGGTTGGCAGCACAAAGCTGCTGACAGTCCCACCGTCACACCCAGACCCCACAACGCCAGGGATGAAGACAGGCTCTATCTAAAGAGAGACCATCCATCCCCACCTCTGCAGACTTTTACTCACTTCTCATGCGTCTGCATCGGCTCTCAGGCCCATTCCTGAGGCAGTCATTGGCAGAGAGAGTGGCATTGTGCTTAGAGCAGCCAGGCGGCCCCGGAGCAGAGGCACGCAGCTCCAAGTCTATAAGGAAGAAGGGGAAATGGGAGCTGTACAGACAGCAAGCAGCTTGCTCCACAGACCACAAGGATCGAATCGGAATCGGGGATTCTTAGAATAATGACTCCATTCGGTGGTACTTCAGAAAGGCCCCAGGGTCGAGAGACTTAAAGATAATGCAAGATGAACAGAAATAAAAGAAGAAAAAGTATGCTGCACCAAAAAAGAAAAGCACAAATCTCATAGTGCAAGAGCACCCGGCGCCCGACTCTGAGGAGTGCCTTGCACGGCCAGTTACTCTCGTCCTCCCTCAGCTCTTGCTTCTGCTTCTCCACCTGCCATTCCACCTTGGCCAGGTACTGCCTGTAGTCTTCTTGGCAGGGCACGACCCCGCCTCTCTGGAGCAGCTGGGCATCTAGGAAGAGGTCGTTGCTGTGGAAGGAACCCTCTCGCTCCCTCTCCAGCCTTTCAACCACAGCCAGGAGCTCTGCCCGCTGCTGCCTCTGCTCCTCTTCAGTGGCCCGGTTGTTGAAGGCACAGTACCTCTTCTCGCACTCCTGCACCAGCACCCTCAGGCTGCAGTTGTCTATGTTTGCTACATAGTCATTCAGGGCCTGGCCCGCTAAGTCCTCTTTGTGGGTGAAGAGGATGACCACATGTCTCATGACCCCTACCCCAAAGACCTCCTTCACCCTCCTGACGGCCACCGTGTCCTGGGTGGTGAAACGCCCCAGCTGGATCACCAGAAGCAGCACGTGGGGCCCTGGGGCAGAGAGCAGGTAGCAGTCCCCGATGTCCTCGTACAGCTCTTGGGTATCAGCCTTTGACTCAAAGATGGAGGGTGTGTCGACCACCAGGACTTGCCTCCCGTTCCATGTGCCTGTCTCCACCTGGCACATCCTGGTCACCGACTGGGCCCCCAGCTTGGACTTAAACACGGGCTGGCCAAGGATGCTGTTCCCTGTGGCGCTTTTCCCGCTGCCTGATTTACCCACTAGGATAATCCTCAATGCTGGTGGTGTTGCAAACCTGTCATTTTCTGATCTACCTGTAGAAAAAGAAGTTTTGTGTCTTACTAAGTTAAAACTGTTAGGTCATGGTTCATGGTTATCTCATGAAAGCTATGAACCTCATCCCCAGAATGACAGACATATTTATATGCATATAAAAGTGTGCATACAACTGCAGGTGAATCTTGCATGTAGAAAGCCCCCTTGGAAGCCCATGTTTGGATCCACAGCCAGGAGTCAGAATTTTTGCATTAAGAAGATCCATTAAGGACTCCAAGTGGATCATGGCAAATAGAGCTTTCCCGAAAGAAAAAAAAAAAAAAAAAAAAAAAAGAAAGAAAAAGAAAATGGTCCCTGTGTTTTCCCCTACATGGTGTTTAGACCAGCTCCATGGAGGATTAATTGCTAAATAAATGTTGTGAGATTAGAAGGAGGCAGAGGATGAGTAGCAATTACTTCTCTTTCACCCACACATTTCCAGTCACACTTGTACAGACACACTTCACACGTTCATCCAAGACATGAGGGTCAAGGAGGTCTCCACTGGCAGAGCTATAGCAACCCACTGCCAAGGGTCAGCTGCCTGTCCCTGGGCCTGTGCTCTCTGGATGGGGAGTGAGATGCTTGAAATTGAGATGATACAGGTGGCAGTTAATGTTAGGGCAATGTCTAGGAGATGGCCCTAGGGTGGACGGCTCAAAAAGGTGGAAGATAAGGTCAACAGAAGCATGTGTGTTGAAAAGCTCATCTATGTGGCTGATCCAAGCACACGAAATTATGGCAGAAGTGGTGCCGGAGAGGGTGACACTGCAGGAGCTAAAATCTTCAAGGCGCGAAGACGGGGGATCCTGTGGATTTCTAGAGCCCAAATGAATTTGAAATGCACTGTAGGGTCTTAAAAATCTATTATTTTAGGCCAGGCATGGTGGCTCACTCCTGTAATCCCAGCACTTTGGGAGGCTGAGGCAGGTAGATCATGAGGTCAGGAGTTCGAGACCACCCTGGCCAACATGATGAAATCCGGTCTCTACTAAAAAATAATAATAATAAAAAATTAGCCAAGCATGATGGCGCGCGCCTGTAGTTCCAACTACTCAGGAGGTTGAGGGAGTGGAATCACCTGAACCCGGGAGGCGGAGGTGGCAGTGAGCCAAGATCTCGCCAGTGCACTCCAGCCTGGCGACAGAGCAAGATTCCGTCTCCAAAAAAAAAAAAAAAAAAAAAATCTATTATTTTATTCCTCCTACTCTGTGTCAGTTCTTCCGTTCCTTTAGTTATTCTGTGGTGTTTTGTAGCAAGCACAATGACTAAATCCCTATGGGGAACTTTTTCTTTTTTCAGCTGTCAGAAAACAAAGAAAGAGAAAACATATTCACCATTTGCTTCTAGACCTTTCAACCTCTGGGGTTTCCTTTCCACATTTCCCACATACCTGGTGCAGGGAGAGCATCTATGGGTGTGTGTGTGTGTGTGTGTGTGTGTGATGGTGTGGTCAGGCACAAGAAGGCTGGGGAGGTAAAAAATGATAGTTGCCTTTATCTTTTTCATTTAAAATGAATGGGTTTCTGCCACTGTGTTTTAGGTGGGGGTAGGTAGGGAGAGAATTGTGATTCTCCCAAGTCTCTGGAGCTCTTAAGAACTTCAAGACTTTCTTACCTTCAGCCATAGTTCCATATTTGCCCTTCTGGAATCCTTCCATTCTCTCCTGGAATGAAAACAGGAAACAGATAAAAAGCAAATGTCCATATGGGAGCTGGTAGAGCCTGAGAGCACCCAATTCAGGCATCTAAGAATAATTATCCTCAGATGAGCCATTTTCATCAGTAATTTTCTAACTCATACTTTATTTGAAACATCTGTAAATAACTTAAAGCAAACCAGGTGATGTTAGATTTTGCTAAAATAATGCACTATTTCCTCCCTCCCATCAACTTACAGAAAATCAGGAAATGTTTTGAAGCAAATCAGTTGATCATGTCCCCCAACCAGAAAGGCATGAAATGACGGAAGCATTCTTCTATGGAACAAAGCGTGGGGCGTTTAAAAAAACTGAAATCAAAGTAGGCAAACTTGCCAGAGTAGAGAAAAAAAATGCCTTGCTGTAAATAACATTGGTTTATTTGAAGTGCTGGAAACTTCCAGTCCCGGAAATTCTTTGTGTCAGATGGCCATTCCAGTGGTGGAGAGGAAATTTTACGAGGTACTTTCCAATGGGAGGGTGGAAATGGGGATCAGGGACACAAAGAACTGACGTGAGAGGAAGTGGTGGTGGGGGACCGGCATGACTGCCTTCCCACCCTGATGGTTGGTGGAGCGGAGGTAGTGAGGTGATTGAATAGAAAGAATCGACTTCAGGCAGAATTCAAGAACAACTCATTTCCTGCTCCGGGTAACAATTTCCAGCCTTGTGCAACAGTATCAGGGATGCACATTTGCCACCTGACTGGATATTGCCAAATATGACTCCCAGGGAGTCGTGCTAACTCCTCTTTGCACCACTCATTTATAAGAGGTCCCCGAATCTTCACAGTCACTTGGTAATAATACACTTTTCTTGTCATCTGTATGGGCATCAATAAGGATGTCTTAATTGGTTTAAACTTACATTTTGCTGATTATCATTGAATTAAAAACAGTTTTCATGGTTTGTTTGCCATTTCGGTTATTTACAAACTGCCATACATAATAACTTCTGTGACTTCTATCTCTTCCACATTTTTCTATGCATTTAGTAGATTTTCTTGGCCTTCTTTACGTTAAGCAATCCATTTTTATATCATCAGAATGTATTAAGACAGCTTCCAGCCCCCCCTCCCTTCCCTTCTTTTCCTTCTTCTTCCTTTCCTCTTCCCACTCTCTCCCTCTTTCTTTTTCTTAAGCCCAGAGAAGAGTGTTCTCCTCTCTCCCACACATTGTTCTTGTCTCTGATAAATGACGCTTTTGGCTTTTGTCAAAATAGCACCAGTTACCTGACATCCTCTCTACTGTAGATGATGTTTTCTGAGGTTTCGAGTCAACATAATGCTATTGTAAAGGTCTAGATGACAGCGGTAATGATGCTGATTATGAACATCATCACTGTAATAAACCTCTGTGCAGACATTTATAATTTTCAAAGTTATCTCATCCTCCTTATTTTAATTGCTCTCCCAAATTCCCTGTGATGTGGTCAAGGATGGTCTTAAAATTTCTGTTAAAATGCAAGGAAACTGAGCATTAAATGACCTGCCAAAGGTCACATATTTACAATGGAGCCAACATCAGGAAATGGCTCCTTTCGTCTGTGTATTGCCTTTGATTCCACAGGCTGAAAAAGAGGCTATTCCGAAGAAGTCAACAGGCCTTTTGGGACATGTGTACAATGCTGCCACTCCCTGATCAAGATAAATCAATTGGATAGCTAGAAGCCTACCCTAAAACCAACACATAGAATTTTATTGCAAAATCTTGAGTGCATTTCTTAAAAAGGGTTATTCAAAAATAAAATTGCAGGTGGCAGGAGTTTCTCTGAATTGAGGTCTTTCCTTTTAAAACAGACAACTGCCTGTCACAAAAGCCAATAAAACTCTGTTATGTTAGCCAACCAACAACAACAATAGTTCTCCCAATCCAACTTCAGTGGATCAGGCTACATTGAGGAATATATTTCTTGGCAGATATTAACAAATAACCAAGTGTCCACAGGTGAGTCAGAAAGGATGCTGATGGCAATGTTAAGATGAATCATGGAGAAGATTATAAGAGAACCAAAGAAAGCCTAGAAAAAGACTGGTGGACACGTCATAGGCTTGGAGGAATGTCATACGTGTTGGTCTACAGGGCAGACAAAATCGGGGGAACTGAGAATGAAGGCAGGTTTCTTCTCCAAAGGAAAAATTTTACTAATCTTCCCACAAATGAGTCCAAAGGTCATGAGAGATTGGAAGGCAGTGTGCAAGCAAGACAATAGCACCCTCTGTTGGGAGGGTCTGGCTCAGGGAGGAGGGTGAAGCAAATGAACAAAATGCACATTCTGATTTGAAAATGGCATGAACCTGATTTTACCATGAGAAGACCTTATTTTAGCAAAACATGAGAAAGTAGCCTCTTCCATGCTATTTTAGAAGAGATCAAACCACTTCTTTTCTTCCTTGTTCATAAGTATTTCCTTCGCCCTGTCTGTCCCAGCCCATATATTTCCAGGTATTGGAATCATGTGTTTTGAGGTCTGGTCGCTGTGATTTCATGGCACATCTCTCATATAAGATGTGGCTGAAAAAGGGATTGTTCACAGGTCCCCCGAACATGAGTCTGTTTCCCTATAGTGTGCATCCTGCAGGGGGTCATAGGAAAAACGTGGGGCATCTTGGGGAACATTTCAGAAGTTGAAAGTCACAGGACAAGGTCCACTCAGGGGTCTTGTTTGGAACAGGAGGCTCCTGGGATGGGAAAATATCCCATGTTTGCCCTGGGGAGCCCTAAAGAATCCATCCTCAGCTCCCAGGCTTGTCTGGGACATGGTGCGTGTCTGCCTGGGCTGGGACAGGAGAAATCAGGAGGGTAAAATTGGGAAGAATGCCCCGGCTTGCTAGGGGAGCTGGGGAAAGCCTATCACCTCTGGAAGCTTCAGTTTTCCCATCTGTCCCACGGATGACAGGATCATTTCAGCCTTACTCCCTGAGAGTTTCATGGAGATCAACTCAGCTAGGTGATGAGCAATGGGCCAGCAAAGCCTGCTGCCCCGGGCCTGGGCTGTGAGTGCAGGTGCTGATTCTTCAGGCTGTGTTCCACCAGCTGCGCACCTGCGGATCCTGCAACACTCACCGCTGCTGCCCCGTTTTACTGGCCGGGGAACCCAGAAGCGAGGGGACCTGTGCAAGGTCACGTCAGAAATGAACGGCTGTGACCAAACTGTGATTCTTCCTATTCCCAAAGTCTCTGTGAGTATAAACCCGGTTCTTCTTACCAGAAATGGCTGTTGTGCCCTGTCCTCCAGGGCGGCGGTCACTGAGGCTCTGGCCGGCTGGCCCTCTCTCAGGAAGGTGAAGTGGTAGCAGAGAGAGCCCTGCTCTGTGGTCTGTGTGTGGGGAGGCTGTTCACAGGGCTGAGGGAGGCTGAGCAGACACAGTTAAGGAGGAGCCACATGCTGGGGCTGAAAACTTCATGACTCAGCTGCAAAAAAAGAAGAAAAGTAGAGATTCTGGAGTGTGCCCCCCACACCCCTGGGGACTAGGACAGCCCGGCATTGGCTGGAAACTGATTGGGAACAAGACCCTGAAAACCAGCCAAATGCAGTGATGTGCTGCCTCCTTAACGGGTCGCTTCCTGTCAGGAGCCTGCCTTGGGACAGGGTGCCCCCTCCTATTTCCTTTTTTTGACTTTCAAGCAAGCAGTATTTGGAAGGAGATATGAAGGGAATTACAGACTCCCCAACTTCCAAGTTCAGATAAGGCCCCTGGTGACTTCAGATAAGGCCCCTGCTGCCCTCAGCACCCATCACCAGGGCACTTGCTCCTCCCAGCACTCTTGGGCCCCTTCTCACAGGCTCTGCTTCTGGAAAGTTTCCACTAACCAGGGTCAGAAAGGCACTCTGGTCCACAGAGGACCAGAATGAGCCCTCGTAGGATTTGACTCCGGGCTCGTGACTGACCCTGGTAAGGTGTCTGCCACGTGATGGAGCCTGCCATGTGAGGACTTTGTGGCGTCTACATGTCAGTTTATCTGGTGAGGGTTGAAAGCAGGGTGATACACCTCTATTTTTCAGCTGATTGCCATTTAAGGCTAGAGCAGTGGACATAAAGCAATTATGAGATGGAGAACATAATGCGGACTTAGGTGGAGGGCTATCACCGCCCAGAGAATCCCCACATCTGTTGACATTTGAAGTGGGGCTTAGAGTCATATTGTAACAATTGTCTAAGATGTGATGGGTAAAACAATTTTAAACAGTCTCCTGCCAGCCCAGAAAACCTCTCCACAAAGGCAGAAAAGAAAGAAAGCAATTTTATTATTCAATGAGCCTTGAACCAGAATGTGATCTAGATCCCACTAGACAATCTAGGAAGAGATTGCAAAGACGGAGAGGGTTGCCACCTGGTCATATAGCCAGGCAGGTGCCACCCTTTACACACGTGTTCTCAAGCTAAACCATAACTAATCCTCAAGTAAGAGGACTTGACAGCACCCTTTGTCACACATAGTTCATCCTAAGTTCATTCAGTAACTATATGTGTTAGCTAACTGTCTTTTTCTAGAGGAAAAGTACACTTCTTATATCTTCCACGGAAAGGGGAAGATTTGCAACTCAGAAAGGTGCTGGCACAAGTGAGGCTCCTACCTAAGTTAGGCTCCTGCTTTCCCACAGAGACTGGGAGGTGGGGACCCGATCTTCCTTGATGTTTACATTTCAAAGGGATGGCTCCCAGGTACTCTAAAGACGTAAAGACAGCCGTGGGCTGTCAAACAGCTTTTTAAAAAGATTTGCATTACAAAGGGCAGAGAAATAATTCACACTCACAAGCTTTCTAAAGAAAATGCCATAAGAAGGGAGGGGTAATTCTTTTCCACTATTTTTTTTTTCCCCAGGAAAGAAAATTGATGTTTTTTCCTTATTTTATTTTATTGGCCTTTGATATTTTATTGGCCCTTACTCTTTTAAATTCCTCAAGGACTTTCAACCCAGTCGGCAATCATAACTTGTGTAAATTGAGCAGAGCAGGGCAGGAAGCGGGCTGTAGTCTGATCAGGATTTCACCCTTATTAGTTAGAGACCAGGTACTCCCCCAGCACCTGGCTGCAATCTCTTAAAAACTTGACGGACAGAGTTCACATCAAAATCTCATTAACAGTGAGGGGCACTGATGCTAACCATTCTTATCAATGTAGCAAACTGTGCTACTTTCACTTCATTCTAGCAACATCTTCAAATTCCTTCTCTTTCCTTTGGTTTGAGCTATTCACAAATGTATTTATCCACTTGGCTGGGTGCTCTGGCACCTCAGTCAGGGCTGATTTTGTGCTTTGAGTTCTCCTGTTCTCTAAATTTTATCTTTTCTTCGCTAGCTGTTCCCGGGGTCTTCTTATGGCTCAAAGAGAACCCAGGGAACCAAAGATGAAATGTGTTAACTGGTCCCTATCAGACTTCTGGATAAGATCTTGGGCTTCTCAGAGGTCAGGCACTGTCTTTAGGTCAGGGCTTTTGCCAGAACTTAGCCCTAGAAAGTGCTCAAAAATACTTACTGAGTAAATAGGTAAAACATACAACTTAAACGCTCCAACTCTCCCTCACGTCCCCTTTTATAGTTACATTTAGTGCTAGAAGGATAATCTTAGGTAGTTACTTTCAGAACCTAGGATTGTAGAAATTAGTATATATCCAGATATAAAAGTATTTCCAAAACTAGACTCCTTGTGCCTTTTCCTCACCCTCTTTATTCCTCTGTTCAGATTTGAAAAAAAGAAAATCAAAACAAAAACAGGAAACCTGGGACACTTCTCAATTGAAGTGTGGAAGTGGCCATTTTCCCTATCCTTCTGTTTGACACCAAATTCAATCCCTATTCAGCCTGGACAGAGAGAGTTCTCTACCAAATATGACATACTACAAAATAGAATGAATCATTGCTGAAAGCAGGTCTCTATCCATCCCCAGACCCCTCTGCTCCCCCTGTTCTCTCTCTGTGATGCTTCCTGGTGCACAGAACTGAACAAACTGAGTTGCAACTCATGTGCTGTAGTTATGTGATGAAGGTTCTGGAGATCTGAGCACAGTAGCCACCTCAGGGTCGATACCTGCAGGCTGCTCTGAGAATCAGCTTTTTTAAGCTGTGGAGATACCAAAGCTCCATTTTCAAGACATTTTTGGCAGCCACCTTCCCTACCAACTCGGAGTGATTCAAGGACTGGGTCCATGCCTTGAACCTTCTGTTTGGCATGGGAGATAGACAATTATTGCCTTCTGATGAAGGAGGAAGAAGAGTGAGGGAAAGAGGAGGCGTGACATTTACCACTTTCTTCTGAGCCACTGGGCTGAGCTCCTAGATGACCAACCATTCAACTTGCTCTGAATTTGACTGGATTTAGTACTACAAGGTCCACGTCCTGGGAAACCCCTTAGTCCCGGGAAACCCCTAGTCCCAGTCAAACCGAGCCTGTTGGCCACCACATGGTCTCCTAACACTTAGTCATGCTTGCTCTCCTTCTCTATCTGGCCTCTGTCTCTTCATTCATCATTTCATCCTATTCCATGAAGGTCTCCCATGAACATGACTAGTGGAAAATGTGGAAATGAAACCGCAGGTCAGAGTGCAGGAGGGTGGGGGGTGCTAAATGCTGAAGTGTGATTTTTCTTCCTTGTCTGTAGTCACTCTAAAAATAGTGCTTTCTTGGAACTTTCTTAGAACCTTGTGTTCTTATGAAAATCGAAAAGCAGGTAAAAGATCCTGAAAAAAGCATTAAAATGCAGGCATTTCTATATTATCAACATTATTATTTCCTCTGAGTCCAGAGAAGGTCATGGTTTCTCTTTTCAGGGCCGAGAGGGGCCAGGTCAGGGCCCCTCTCATTGGAGGTGAACAAAGGAGCCTCCTGGATCAGGCTGCAGTGCAGAGACCACACCTGCGGCAGAGGCGTCATAGTGGGTCAGAGATCATCCAGGGGTGAATCTAGGAGGTAGAGTTGAGGATTCAGAAACATTCAGGTCAATACGAGGGCAGCTATTTGAGCCCACAGTTAACACACAACATCAAGGAAAGATTAATGATGCCAGAAAGCACACTCCAAGCTTCTAAATATTGCATCTTGCAAAGCAAATTTACCCTGTTCTCCTGAGCCTGTGCACCACACCACGCCTAATGAGTGATAAGTACAGACAGCACCCATAGAAAGCAGACAAAAAGCCACCCTCTTAAGGAACCTAAAATCTTATTAGAGAGACAAGACTTATGCAAATGAAAGACAATGAGTAAGAATCCCAAATAAATGTTTTGGACAAGTATAGTTCATACACACCATTATAGAGCATTCAAAAATGAAATAGAGCAGAATAGAAACTATCAAAATTAATCACATAAAATATGATTGTATGTAAGTTCTGGGAAGCAGTATGAAACTGAGGGAAATGGTAAAAAGTACATGAAAGCATAGTTTTAGACAATGTATTAAACAGGATTTTGGGAAGAGAAGAGGTCAACATGGACCAACCCCAGGAAGAAAGCCCTGAAGTGTGGAGTGGAACTTGGACATGTGATCAGGGTTGACAGGAGGTGGGGAAGGGGCCCTTTGAAGCAGTGATTTTAAAGGAAGCAGAGAGTATGTAGATATCAGGGCAGGACAGCCCCTAGAGCAATTGTAAGAGCTTGTGATTGTGACCTCTAGAGTTGTCAGGTTAGCCGATGTCTAGTTGTCTAATTCCATAGCATTGCATTTAGAGTAGAACCCTCACCTATTTAGTTAACCCAAAAGGCCAAGAGGGAGCAGCAGGGACTGAATCCATGCCTTGATGTTCTCCTCTAGTTGTTTATTGGATGGGTTAGATGAGGCCCACCTGGGATGACAAGATCCCTGGAGATTTCCCAGCTGGCACCATGGAGGATTGCTCCTGTTGCATCTGGAGTGGGGTGGGCCTTCCTGAAAGCCTAATGAGACTCTTCCCTACCCTGACATTATCACCTGCAACCGAATGTCTCCTGGTGAGCGCCTTGGCATCCACAGCTGATACCTTCCTGTCACAAATAATGTTTCTGAGCTTGTGAGGTGTACTCTTACCAGGCTGATTTTCTTTTGAGTCATTACATTGGAATTTCTCAGACCTTGAGCTGTCAATCAATTATAGGTTTGTTGAGATATTTTCCCCCTCAGCCTCAGAGGGAAGATAAGGGCCCCCTCAAACCCCAAGATGACTCAAGGCCTGAGATCAGTTGCTTCTGAGGTTGGGGGCAGTTTCTTGTGTTTACACACTATGCTGTGACAAATGTTACCATGTGGACACTGACATGAAAAAGTTGGGAAACTCTACTTTTGATGAAAAGAGTATTATATACCAAGTTGTGCTGTCTGGGTCTTGTTTTCCTTCTGTCTGAAATTACTATTGGCATTTGACAGCCTGGGGTATCAGAGTTACCAACAGGCACAGCTGTAGGAATGCCTAAGGGTTCTTCGGGTGCACATTGTCT